CCTCCTCCCCTCCTCCCCTCCCCACTCCTCCTCACTGTGTGCTGAGCAAGCTCCCTGCCCCTTCCTGCAGAGCCTGGGAAAAGTCCCTGTGCAGGTGGCTCCCTTGGGACCCTGTACATCTCCAGGTTCCCAGTGTCCCCTAAACTGTCACTTTTGTCAAAGATTAAGAAAAGCAGTTTCATGTTCAAGAAACCTGTTTCCTTCTTGGTGGGAGCCACTGAACACTGAGCAGAGACCAGGGAGAGAATGAGCTGGAAGTCAGCGAGGGGGTGCCCCCAGGGCTATGAGGTTCTGAAGGGCGGGCCCTGGTCTCACGGCTCTGCGGCCATCTCTGTCTCCATGACACTGCCGTCCAGGCTCGCCCTTGGGGGCCCAGTGGTCCTCACAGCTTGGGTGCCTTCCTCGGTGGCTGACCTGGCTCCTCTTGGTGCTGCTCAGTCCCTTCTCCTCACGCCCGGTTGGCGGCACTGCGGGGCGGGCGCCACACCCAGCTGGTGGGTTTGTACCTCCTGCTGAGGTGCGGTCTGTTCTCTTGGGTCCTGGGAGACCCCGACCCGCTGGAGGGTCCACTCGCAAGGGGAAAGCCCGTCACGCCCAGGACAGGAAGTCCTCCAGAGCCAGGACGCTCCTCATGAACCGTTKGACACCAAGCCCCAGGACTCGTCACCTAGTCCTGAATAGAAATTAGGAATACAGAGAGAAGATGGAGTCTCCCAGCGTCCCTGCTGGGATGTGCAACAGTGTCTGTGAACAACTCCTGGGGACAGAGAGCCTCAGGGTGAACGGCACCCAGGGTGCGCAGTGCCCGCTGAGCCTGCTGGAATGCAGAAAAGCAGGAGGAGATCCAACAGAAAGAGAAGGTTAACCTCGCGAAGCCAGAGCCCCCCATGGGACCCYGACCCCGGGCCCAGCCACCCCTCACCCACCGATAGCAGGGGATGTCCATTGAGCTAAACCTCCCGGCCAGGCGAGACCCCGACGGGGAACATGGTATTTCCCAGCCCTCCGGGAAGTCCGCCCCCCGGAGCACACATATGCCACCTAACTGTGTACCCTCATCAGAATTTGGGCCTTGAGCCCTGGGGTGCTTCCCCCGCTCCAGAGCCCCTATCCACTCAAGAGGGCGGGTCTTCACCTTCATTTCCTAACCAAGATCCTCTTCATGTGTCCTTAAATTCTTCTCTGTGGTGTGTCAAGAGCCTGGAAGGACCCAGTGGAAGTCTCCTCTGCCCCTGGAGAGACCTCCTGGGACCCTCAGTGGTGACAGTCCCAGGTCCAGAGGACTTCCCCCACTGATTGCCTGAGAGTTCTGTGGTTTGGTGGCTGGTTCCAGCGTGGAGTGCATCTGGAGGGGTGAGGTGTCAGCTGAGATTTTTCTACTTTTGTTTCATGCCCACGGATGTCCCCTGCTCCAGCTCTGTTTGTTGCAAAGACAACCCTTCCTCTGTGACGGCCCTCGCACGTTTGTGGATTCAGCGGGGAGTGTGGGGAGTGYGGGGAGTGYGGGGAGTGCGGGGGTCGTTCATGGTTAGCTCTGCGAGCGGAGGCAAGGTGGAGAACGCTCACGGTGTGACGTGGAGCAGGGGACACAGAAGGAAACCAAGTCCCTCTTAGGCCAGGGCTGACCCCTAGCAGCACCAAGGCCATTTCTTCTGCCATCCAGCCCCACTGTGTCCCCTTGGGACACACAAAGCCCTCGATAACCCCAAAGGGATCCGTCAAAGCCACCCAACGAAACATCCCAGCCGTCCCCCTGCCCCCTGCAGGACCCCACGCTGGTCTGGTGGCTGCAGAGAYACAACCCCACCTCTCTGCACTGGAGGGCCAGGCACTGGACTCCCCCTGCCCACCCCCACCGTGGGCTCTGATGTCACCCGTCCCTCTCTCCAGAGCAGAATCCTCCTGTCCCAAGGGGCCCCTCCTGGTCTGTCTCTGGGAGAGCAGGGCCTCCCCCTTTTGAATGGGAGGCCCTCCTGCGGCAGCTGAGGCCCATTTCCTCTTCAGTCCCCTGCGGAAATGAGAAGCAGCTGGGAAACATCTGCAGCAGTGAGCGCTCTTGGAGACTTGGCCGCGCCCCTGTCCTCCCCCAGAGCTCGCTGGGAGGTTGCCTCTTCCCCAGCAGCGGCTCCTGCTGGCCCAGGGACAGGTTTGCTGCTCACCCCCAATTCCCTGCACTGCCAGCCTTTCAAACTGCCTCCTGAGTCACCCAGGAAACAGCGAGGCCCAGGCCAGGGAGTGAGCACCTACTGTGTGCAGGGCACACTCCAGGGACAGAGTGTGTTCAAGGGGTGTGTCTCCCCTTCAACCCCAAAGGAGGACAAGCCACTGGGCAACACCGGTGACAGTGGCCTGAGGGCAACGTGGAAGGTGACAGGAGAGAAGCTGGGGCCTGGGGCGGCTCCACCAGTTCTCTGCTAAGAGAGGGAAGGAGGAGAGAGAGGGAGGATCCAGGCTGCAGAGGAGGGGCGGGGTCCCGTTTTAGGGGAGGGCCACCCCGACATCGCAACCCTTCCTTGACATGGGCCCTGGTGTGGCATTAATGTCCTTGTACGTACCCCCAAGGAACAAGGACAAGCAGGGTGACGTCACCTTGGGGAGGAAGACATRAGAATGCAGATTGCCCTAGGAGCTGCTGTGACCCCTGGGAGGCCGCCTGGATGAAGGCTCACGGCAGCCCTGAGAGCCTGTGGGGTGGAGAGGAGACAGGGAGGCCCAGGACTCCCCCAGGGGTGGGGCCAGTGGGGGTGGCCTCAGGGGGCTCGACCTGGCAGAGGGGCTGCCCAGGGCTCCAGGGCACCCTCAGCCGAGGCAGAGCCACACCCCATCACGCCCGCTGGCCAGGCAGTGGCTGCTTTGAGATCCTTCAGGGGCAGAAAACAAGCCCAGCACCCTCCATCGGGCTCCTCTTCCCTCCAAAGGTCTCTCCTAAGTTCCTGGCGTTCCCAGCACAGMGCCCCGGAGCCCGTCCCAACCATCTAAAGCAAAGCCATTCTCCTAAGGAGAGTTCCAGGACAGCAGTGGCTTCAGTGACAGCTGGACCCAGGGACACTCTTGAGGACCTCAAGCTCCTCTCTCCCTCCCCCTCTGCCTGGGCTCTGCCTGCTCCCTGAGGCATTCTGCAGCAGGCCTCCTGCAGCCCAGCACAGTGGCCACCCGCAGCCCCACACCCACAGCTGCTCGGCCTTCTGTCTCCTGGGGTTCACACAAGACGGACTGGCCCTGCTGRGGTCATGTGTCCCTGTCACCAGGAGGAGGGAACACTCGCTTGGCCCAGCCTGGACTGGAGCCCTGGTGCAGCTGGATGAGAGGTGATGGGTCACCGCCTTTCTCCAGTCGCACGGAGGAGGGGAAGCGGCCAGAACGCACACTGGGCAGCCCACCCGCCTCTCACAGGACATCGTCACAGCAGCCCAGGAGGGAGCAGGGCCAGGACCCCAGCCATCGGAACAGATGGGCGGCTGTCCAGTGCAACCCAGCAAAGCAGGACCAGCTCCTCGGCCCTCCCCACTGGGCGACACCGTGGACGCCCAGCTCCCTGCTCCYTCACAGCTCTCCACCGGCCCCGGCAGCTCTCAGCCTGGGGGTTCTCTAGGGTCACAGCTCGCATGGCCCCCAMGTGGGCAGGACTCCAGGGCTGGGCCCTGCCTTCCATCCAGGACAGGCTACGATGGGAAAGACCCCAGTGTGTCACCCTTTGGGAGGGACAACTCTGAAGCACACCCACACAGTGGTCACCTGCTTCTTCACACACCCTTTCTCACCACCCTGCTACCAGTCCATCCTGGAGTCACCCCAAAAATAAATGATTTAAACTCAGGTTTTTGGTTCAGGTCTGCCCTTGAAGAACCCAAACCAGAGTATTCCAGACGCACTAATAAACCGCAGCCAGGGAAGGAGATCTGGTAAGTCCTCCTGGTCAGCCGGACGTCAGCGCCACCATCCCAGGACAGCAGAGAGTMGGGCACAGCCAGCGGCACAGCCCGCCCCACCCTCTCAGATATGGACGCGGCCACCTGGCCATGGCCCTCTCTAAAGCCGCGTCCACGCACAGGGGCACAGCCTCATGGACGGTCAGTCACATCTGTCCCTGGCAGAATAAACTGCAACGTTACAAGTACATCGCCGTCTGCCCTCCCTGTCCCCAGCCTGTGGGCTCACGAGCCCAAAAAGCCACCCAGCAAATGTCACTGTCAGAATGTGCTCAGGTCCTGAAATGGCRGATTCTGCCCCTGCTGGCCAGCTTGCTGAGGGTCACGGGTGTAGAGGGAGAGGCATCTGGCCCAGCCACCCAAGGTAGGAACGGAGACACAGGACACTGAGAGAAGCCTGCGCGGAGCCTGGCCCACCTGGACGAGGCTGTGCTAAAAATAGTGGTGACTCAGAGAGGCCGGGAGGGCCCAGCCCAGTGCCAGCAAGAGAAGCCCTCCCCCGCCTGAGCGCCACCTAAGCTGTCCAGGGAGCCTGTGTACCGTGTGCGCAGCCCTGTGGGTAGGGAACACACAGTGCACGTCCGTCCACACCGGCCCTGTGAGTCACATGGCCAGGGAGGGCCCCGGGCCCAGCTCCTCACGTTACACATCCGGAACCATCTGGCCCAGGCTCTGAAGCCCACTTGGAGTCCCTGGGTAAACACATCCCGTCACCTAGGAAAACAGAATTTCATTTTCCATAGTGATGAAACACGTCTCTAGGGGACAGTCAGTAAGATGTATACCCAGCTCGGGGACAGTGTGGCTTTGCCACTGAACTACAAGGATGCCTGGGGTCTTTGCACAGCATAAAAGAAAGAAAAGAGTGAGCGAGAGAAAGAACAAGGCTAAGGAGAGGAGAGTCCACGGGGGTCACGTTCAAAACAGACAACGCTCACAGCTCAGCCCCTGATTTATACGCAGGCTGAGTTCCAGGTCTGTTTCCAAGTCAGTTGTTTGGGGTTTACAGTGTATTTTCCCATAGAAACTATGTCCGTTGGTTGTGAAGTTAACCCACTGATGTCTCCAGTATCCCTCTGTTCAAAGGGCTGCCGGACACTCTCCCGTCTCTTYACAGCATCTTGCAGCGCTGCTCCTGCGAGGAATTCAGCTCTGTGCACAGATCAGGTCAAGGTGCCCCTCTCCCTTGCAGAAGGTGGAGGGGAGAAGCCCCAGCGCCCCGTTAGAGCATCCACAGGACCACTGGTGGGTGGGGACAGACAAACGGAGGCTGGATCTCCAGACCACCTCAGGATTCCAACCTCTCCGGGCCTCAGTCGCCTGGCCTCCACACCGTCCCTGCCTTATGCTGTTGTCCTGGGAGGATAGAGAGGTAGGAATGATGCAGCAGGCGATGTACAGTGCTTGGCCCCAGAAAAAGTGCTCAAAAATAAATAAATGGCGGCTGTTCTGCTTACTATTGCCGTGTCTAGAAAGGCAACCGTAAAACGGAAAGGCAGAAGTGAAGAGGGCTTGAGGAGCCATGAACTTGCACAGGGCAGGACCACGTCTGTTGGGTTCCTATGCCTGGTCCATGCAGACCCTAGCAGGACTTAACGATGGGTGGGCAGACAGGATGTTGGATGGACGGACGGATGGATGGGTGGACGGGTGGAGGGAAGGATGGATGGAAGGATGGAGGGACAGACACATGGACGAACGTTAAGTACCTCTGTGTGCTCTGCCCACCGTTGCCTCTGGCCACAGTCTGAGCCCTACCCCAGGCCCCCCTCAGTCCTGCCCCAGACTCGGCCGCAGTTGCCTCTCACCCACAGTGGAGACCCCCTAACCCTGGGCTCAGAGGGACCTTCCTGCCTTATCTCTTCCCTGGGTCCTTCCCTCGGCTGGTCCCCGAGGCCATGTCCATGAGGAATCTCCATGGCCACCTTCCGCCCCGCCTTCCCTTTCCTCTGCCCCCCTCACTGCCGTGCTCCAGTGCGGTCAGCTCCATCTCCCGCCACGCCCAGCCGGGGGCTCTTCCCCCACCAGTGGTCAGGCTCCCCGGGCCTGGTGCTATTTTCCTGGGGGATCCTGCCAGCCCCAGATGCCCTCTCTCTCTTGTTTTCTTCCTCAAGTACATCTGCTCTCCTCCTGAGGAACTTCAATTCCTTGGAGTYTCAGGTCACGGTCACTCTCTCCTCTCCTCCCATCCCCCCATCTCATCAGCAGGAAATGAGGGTGGCACAGCCTGTCTACACCCCCCCGACTTTCTGCCTTTGCCGGACAGGCCTGTTGCACTGGTCATTTGTTATGTCAGGAGAACAAACTCTGACCGTGCCAACAAACTCCCCGTCACAGTGGCAGACTGTCACCAGGTACTCTGTCACTGAGTTAGCCACCTGTCGTTATGTGCAAACCATCTCAAGATCCAACGGCTCAGAGCAACCACCAACCTGTCGCCTCTCGTGATTCTGAGGTTGACCGGGTTCCACTGGGTTGTCAGGGGACAGGGCTTCAGCTGGGCCAGAACGCCCAAGATGGCACCTTTGCAGAGACAGCCAGAGCGCTGGGCTCAGCTGGACACCAAGACAGCTGAGCGTCCTTCTCCCTCTGTGTAACCTCGGGTCTTCTCCTTCTCCAGTTGCTCAATCCAGCAGAATAGCTGGAAAGGCACCGGTCAGCAGGCCTCTTAGAGCTTGGATCCATATCACCTCTGCATCTCAGGAGAGTCCAAGGGTGGGCCCAGGTCAGGATGGGAGGCCATTCCACCGGCTGTGAGTACCCAGAGATGAGACTTACCCGGCCCTCTGCTCAGACGGCTACCCACTGTGGGGGCCGCCGATGGCCTCTTCCACCTACAGCCAACRTCATTTGCAGCTTGTGATCTCCAAAGTCATCATGAGAGTCACAGGAAATAGGAGAGAGAGCTAGGGGAACGACAGTGGCCTGTGACTGCCTCTGCAGGCAATGGATCTTCACTCCTCCTCGCTCACCATTGGCCAGGATTGATCGCTTGACCACCAGCTTGACTGCAGGAGGACCTGGAGTGAGACAGGTGGATGGTGACTGCATCAGCCCTACCGGCCTCTGCCCCATCTCCTATTTCCTAGGAGGACACCCAGCGTGGGTGGGTGGACACTCCACTCACGGCTGGTGGGAGCAGGTACTGGCACAACCTCTCCTGGAGGACAACATGGCCTCCTCACATCACTTGCTGGAGGCTGGGTGTGGAGACCGTGCCATGCCCAGGGCCTTTCTGGCTCTAAGATTCAGTGGGCATTACTAAGCCCTAGAAAATGAGGGCTTAGTAATACCAGAACACCAACCTCCATCTTCTTTCCAAAGTATTCTGTGGTATTGGCTGAAACGGAAGGAATTCATTTCTCCCAGGGGTGGAGGCTGCTCGTGGGAAGGCTGGTTCCCACCTAGTGAAGGAGAACACACAGCACATTGTGGGAGGCAGAAGTAGCCACACTGGGCAGGTCCCAAYACTGTGCCCAGTTCAGGGTGCTATGTTAGAGCAAAGGCGGAGACGCCAGGGGAAATCCAAGAACAGCAAAACACTTGACCTATCAGTGAAGCCGGAAGGGACAGGGATTAACGCACCAAAGAACAGGAAATGACTCAGTATCAAATGCCTACAAATGGCGAGCCATCAAGAGGGTGGACACAGGATCCAACAGGCTGGGCTGGGGCATTGGCTCTGTCACTTGCCAGCCGTGTGGCCATAGTCACATTACCTAACTTCTCTGAATGTCACTCTTCTCATGTCTAAAACAGCCAGTTGTGGCAGCTTCCTGGTGGCCGTTCACGTGGGTTACGTGTGTGCCAGGCTCCTGTGTGCCAGGTCAACGTGGGTGTTGCCACGGTAGTTACTCCTGTCCCATCCATGTTGGTTGGGACCAACCAACGGTTCCTACAAGTTATTAGGTCAACTGAGAGGAGAAATCGACAGCCAGCCACGCTGACAGTCAAACCCTGGTGTGCCACCACAGGACCGTTGAGCCTCAGCCAGCTTCCCTCTCCCCAGCCGCACTCCTACCTGACACTGCATACCTCTCCGAGATGCGTGCCTTTGGTTTGGCCCAGTCCGAGCCTTGGGAGTGCAAGCAACAGCAGTGAACCTGGGCAAACCTCAGCAACTAGGGATGTGCTGAATCCAAGGAACACAGAAGACCAGGACTCAAGCAGGGCCAGAGCCAGCAGCTCTTGGAGAGACGGGCACTTGGAGGCGTGGGCTCTGGGCCTCGCGACTCAGATGGAAGACAGTCTGGCTCCGCAGAGAATGAATGCCCCGGATCATTGTTGGTGTGACTCCCACGGGCACCGTGGGGAGGGGACCAAGGTCATGAGGCAGGATTGGTGTTTCTGGCAACGCACCTGAGCCTGATGAAGTTGTATTGCCTGCGAGGAGATGCACCTGTTATTAGGGTGTAGGAGATGACCTGGAGGCTTCAGCCACAGCGTTGCTGTTTGGTACCACACAATGGCCTGCTGAGCACAGCACTCTTGACTTTACAGGCACTACTATTTAGGACACACTGCAAATAGACCTTCAAAAGAATCCCTCTTAAAGTTTTAAGCAAATAGATTTGACACATGGCTAAGGCCAGTCACAGAAGATGGGTCATAGATTAATGCAATTTAAGGAACATCGCCTTAAAGTTGTTGTATTGGTTTCAATGGAGAAGTTCTGGTGAATCCAGGGCCCTGAGGTCCAGAGAGGAGTAGATTGACAGGTGTGATACAGCAGGAGACCGCAGAGGCCGCAGCAGGCTGGCATGGCCAACAGCTGCTACGAAGCCACATAGACCCAGGGCTGACAGATTCTTCTATACTCTTGAGAATTTTCCGGACTTTTTTCCTTCTGAGGCGGGTCTGGCTATGTTGCCCAGGCTGGCCCCAACTCCTGGGCTCCACCAATCTCAGTCAGTCCTTCTGGGAACACAGGCATGAGCCTTCAGGCCCAGCTTTGGGTTTTAAAATGTGAGTAGCTAACTCAGAATTTGCAAATGGATGGACAAGCTACGCAGAGCATGATCCTGCTGTGGGCATGCGCCTGCAGACCACCAGAGGGCAGTCAGAACTGGGAACGCTTCCTCCTGGGGTCGGCCACCCACTCTCTCTCAGCAAGGAGAAAGAGGAAACCAAACCCCGCTGCAGTGAGACATGGACTTGCAAGAAACCTGTCACCTCTCCCCGCTRGAAGGCCAGTGTTCCACTGCAGAGGGATTTTAAACAATATTTTATTATGAAAATGTCCAAACCCTGCACTGCCAGGTCACCAGGGTCTTGGGGGAGCAGCTGCAGCTCCCCAACCGGGGTCAGCCCTTGCCCTGCACGTTCCTGCTGGTCACAGCGTCTGCCCCTCCAGCCCGCTCTCCAGCCACCGGTGTTGGATCCTAAGGAGGTTTAGGAAATGAGCAGGGATGTGGCTTGGGAAGGTGTCCTGGTCACTGGCCTGAGTGCCTTCAGATGCACATTCTGCATGTTCTTTCCTCTGCTCCGCTCTGAGGGACACTTCCCGGGCCCCTCCCTGGATGGGCTGACAAGAACAGGCCCTGGGGGAGGGCTGAAGGCGGGAGCAGAGAGGTGGGGAGAAGCCCCTCTGCCACTTGAGGTCGCATCTGAGGCCCCACTGTCTTCCCCACGCCCGGCTCCCACCAGGGCACACATCCTGGGCCCCGGAAGCTCCTTCTCCCTTTGTCCCCTGGGCCTCAGAGGAGAGCGGCTGCTGGCTGTCCCGTCTGTCTGCAAGGCCTCTCCACTTGGCTTTCAGCTTCCTACCTCCTTCCACACTCCTGTGCATCTCGTGCCTCTGAAAGGAGGAGAGTGAGCCAGGATGGAGCAGGAAGCTTCAGACTGTGTTGGAGTCTGATGTCATGCAGAGGGCAGGGAGGGGAGGGCCTTCCAGGGACTCAAAGGCTGGGGGACCATGCTGCGGGGAGGGGGGGGAGATAGGGCAGCCCTGAGGGAGAGCGGCCAGCACTAGTCTGCAGCTACCCACAGAGAGGGCCTCGGCTTGCACGCTGGGGCCCATGCTGGCAGACGGAGTGGACAGCTGCTAGCTGACTCGCTCCTCCAGCTCTCCAGCATGTTCTTTCTGGAAGGGAAGTCCGTGGTCACACCATATCTGCCACMGCCAGCTAATCTTCGGAAAAAATGTCTAAGCTACATCTTGATCCCATCCCGGAGGAATGGTTAGAAGTGACCACAGGAGCTGATGTATATAATCCCATCTCCCTTCCCCCAATACTTCAAGTAGTGGATGAACCACATGAGTCACAGAGGACCCACTCACTAGGGCCCAGCTGGGGTGAGTTAAAATACCTACCAAGTGCAGAGATAACTCCCACGCAGTTTCCATGGAATATGCTCTAAAACTGAGCCACCGACTCCAGAAGGCCAAAGCCTCCCGAGTAGATTTTGGATCACCTGTTCTTGTTGATAGGACACAATTATATACAAAAAAATGCACTCCTCTTAAATGTGAATTTGACAAATAGGCACACCTAGATACAGTAAGTACACACTTTGAAGAGTTTCATCAAATGCACACAAACATGAGCCCACCACCCCCCTGAGGATACAGACGAGACCCTGGCACCCTGCCCCAGCTGGCTGTCCACTCCCACCCCAGACAGCCCGGTCTTCATGCTGTACAATAGACTTGGGTTCCCTGGGATACCCTCRCACCCTACGCACCAGTCAGTGTCGGGCTTTCTTCATGTGGGGAACATCTGAGTCCACTCCAGCCGCTTGTGAGTCACCAGTCAGCTCTGCTTGGTTGCAGAGAGCATTCCACCGCATGAGCACACCACAGTTGGTTTACCTAGTCTGGAGTGCCCACCGCCACAGTTGACATCTGGAACAAACCATCACAAACACCACTGAGCTGCAGCCCCTCCCTCCCTCCTTCCCGTCAGCCCACAGCAACCACTGCTGTGTTCTCCACCTCCGTGTTTTCCTCTTTGAGGATGAAACCATGCAGTGCATGAGCTTTCAAGATGGACATTTTTAATTTGGCACAACTCCCTTGGAATTCATCAAAGTCTCAGGTGCCCATAGCTGGTTCCTTTGTACTGCTGAGCAGTATTTCAAGCCATGGGYGAACAGTTTGCTCCACTGTTCACCCACTACAGGACATGAGTCATATGCAGGTTGTTGCTATCGAGAGYAAAGCTCTCGGATGAGCAGGTTTTCATGTGAGCATGGGTTTTTGAATTTCTGAAAGAAATGCCCCACGGTGCAATCCCTGGGTCGTGAGGTAAGGGCGTTGGTAGGTTCTGCAAGAAGCTACCGTATTCTTGTCCAGAGGAGCGATGTCGTTTCCATTTCCATCAGCAAGGGGTAAGCTATCAAGTTTCTCTGCACCCGCTCCAGCATTTGGTATTGACACTGTTATTTTTTCATTTTACCGTCTTCAGAGGAGCGTGGTGATGGTGTCGTGGTGAGTCTCCTTGGCCCCGTGGTGCTGAGCATCTCCTTTAGGAGCTTAATTGCCTTCTTTGGTGCGACATCTGCTCGTGTCCTTAGCCCATTTCTCCTTGGATTGTTTGAGTTCCTTTTAGTGATGAGTTTGGGGTCTCTTCATGTTCTAGATACTAATCCCTTCTTGGATGTGTTCCCTGGGGTGTAGCTTTTCTCCCTTCCTCTTGACGGTATTTCTCACGTGCGAGTCCAGTCTTGCTGTGGTGCGCTGCATCCATT